AATATTTATTGAGGGCCTGTATTCTAGGTGGTATATAAATAGATTTATATGTGCTAATCTCATTCAGTCCTTATTGTAACCCTTACAAAAAATTAGTGGCTATCCTTTATAGATAAGGAAATTGAGGCTAGGAGGGTTCAAGTCCAAGTCAGATTGCTAGTAAAGGGGAGATCCAAGCCTGGTGTGGTGGGGCATGCCTCTAATCCCAGTGACTTAGACGGCTGAGGCAGCAGGATCGAAAGTTTGAGGCCAGCCTCAGCAACTTAGGCCCTTAGCAATTTAGCAAGATCCTATCTCAACATAAAAACTAAAGATCTGGGGATATGGTTCAGTGGTTAAGTGCCCCTGGTTTCAATCCTTGGTACCAAAAACAAAAGGGAAGGGATTCAGATATAGGTCTGACTTTTACAACTGTTGCCAATCATTTATAGCATTGTTCTTTGAGGCTTTCAAAAGTTTACACCACAGGGACTGCTATGCTCTTCATGTACAAATACTTAAGGCCAGCAGGTAATAAAAAATGTGCAGATGGAGAGCAGTTACAAATAATATTTGCTAGCATGCAAAAATAAGAACAGAAAATGGGCCATGAGGAGGATTCCTTATAGCCAGGCAGAAATGTCTGTTGGAATATGTAGGAGAGGATCACAGCATTGCAGAACTTGAGTAAATGTGAGCCTAAGGGAAGATTGGTAGCAGTGATTTTATCTGAAGTGAGTCATCTGACGGCTCTAATCAGAATCACCCCCTTTATTATAGCTGAGGTCATCCGTGTGCTTTCTCTGATGTGCCTGTTTCAAGAAGAGATTGATTCCAGACAAGTGAAACATACCTGAAGATTCTGGCTTGGACATTATAAATGACCTGACAAGAGAGTGAGCTGCATGCAGATTTTACAACTCGGTGGTGGTGGTAATGTTAGAAGTATTTAACAATCTCTATACTGTAACAAGCAGCACTTTCCAGATATCCACCAACGACATTGAGAGGGGGAGGAAATTGAAAACATGCCCCCAGGAATCCCAAGCCATCACACGATGGGATAAAGGAGTCTTTTTTAAGTCTCCTGTTTTATATTTCAGAAAAACATTTGTTCATTTCCTTATCTATTTGTTTTAGTTGAAAAATAAATTATTTTACTTGTTTATCTCCTTACTCCCACCCTAAGCCTTCAAGGACAGTTGACAGTCTGGGGAAAGGTGCTTGTTTTGCTGTGATTTAGCAGGCTCCCACCCACCTCCTTGCCTGGAGCAGGTGCCCCAGTGTGGGGAGCTCTGTCTTGTAGGGTTTGTGCTGCCTCACTAGCATCTGCTGAGGCTTTGCAGATAACAGAGGGGTGACCTCCTTACTCCTCCTGTGACTGCCTCGATTTTCTTGTTCCTTCTGTTCTCTTAGGTATGAATTCCCTATTTATCAAACTATCATGGTTTGTTTCTTTCACTTGACTGGCATAACTTTTTAAGGGCCTGGTCTCTTGATATGTCCCAGCAGTTTTATTTTTGGAATTTCTTTTTTTGTCTTACTAGGGGAATATCACCAAATATTTCTGATTCTAGCAAAAACATTTTTTCTCTCAAGATACTGCTTAATATTTAAGGCACAGTAATTTTATATATGGCAGGCTTTGTTTGGGTTTTGTTTCTTGTTGTCCTCTTCTGGGGGCTGGAGTGGAGGTTTTGGTGATAGCAGTGGTAATTGTTATTTCTGTCTCTTGGATGGACAAAAACAAGCTCAGACCAGCATATAAGAAAACTAACTTAGGGTCACGAATGAGTTCCAGGTTGTATTATATTATATTTTCTATTCAATCCCAGGTGATTTAAAATTTTTGTTGTAGTCTTGACAAGAGTTCAGTGCTTTTGAGTAATTGAATAGCAGTAAAGGGTTTTTTGTGTGTGTGTGTGGAGTATTTTTATACCTAAATCTTTTATGAAAAGGGTTGTTGCTGATTTACTGATACTAAAGACTTGGTTCATGGTAAGACCTAGAAGTCCTTTGTTTGGGGCATCATTTGTGCCCAACTTGATTTCTTTTCCTATAACCCACTGTTGGCCTTTAGCTGGTCTAATTTTGCTTGATCCTGTTTTCTCACTATCCCACTTGCAAAAACATTTTTTCCCCCCTGTTGATATCCTATTTTTTGAATGCCATTCACTACCAGATAGCTTTTAACATAGGCCTGGCAGGTTTTGAAGTCTTTTTCTTAACTAACATGTCAATATGTTTCCACAACGATCTTGAAGATTGGCAACAATCTTGTGAGCCTGTTTTGTAAATGAAGAAACAAGAAACAGGTGAATATCACTTGCAGCTTAGTGGCAACCCCAGGAATTGACCAGACATCTGGGCTTCCAGTCCACTGAATCCTTTGCTTCAGTACCCATGTAGTGTCTAGAAATGTTTTCTGGAAGTTTTCCAATTTTTCCCAAAGTGGGAAAAATTATGTAGGTTGAGTTGCCTACAAAAAAGATAAAATATCTTAAGATTTTTTTAAAAAGATCTTAAATTCAAACAGTGGGTTTTAAAGATTTCTAAATTAAACCAGTACCTGTTTTAGACAGCTTTAAGGATGTATGTTTTCTGAGAATACAGCAGATTGAATCATAGAAGAGATAATAAGTGGGTAAGTTTTCATTTTCCTACTTGTTTCTAGCGATAATGTTTTATTCCTCTTGGAATATTGTGAGAAGGTCATGGCTAGAAGGATCACATCTGGTTCCTAGGAGGAATTCCTGTGTCCAGAAGGATTCTCAAAAGTAATAGTGGATTGGGGGTGTATCTCAGTGGTACAGTGTATGTGGGTTTAAGTATGCTTGAGGCCCTGGGTTCCATCCTCAGCACCAGAAAAAGAAAGGAAGGACAGAAGAAAAGGAAGGGAAGGAAAGAGAAGCAAACTGTCAGAGAAGTAAAACTGTCAAACATAAAAATGCCAAACTTCTTTACTTTTGCCTGGAATTTAATGAACCTAAATAGAAGCTCTATTGGCAGGGAATAGGCATGATCAGCTAATCTGTTTTGAAGATTGCCATTTGTAGACAAGAAGTCCATGAGGCCACGAAACAGCCAAGGGGAGTGGTGTTGAAGGATTCTTAATTTGGTCTGAGAACTGTGCTGCAGTGGTATGGAATGCCCACGAGGTGGCACCAATAATTTGCTTAACTGTTGGATCTCTAGTAGTGGCCAGAACTTTTGAAGCCCATTTCAGCTTCTCCCTCCTTGCAAACAGTGTGGCTCAGCTGTAGCTGTGCCCTCAGTTCTGGTCCCCAGCTTCTCCTGAGCCCCCTCAGAGTATTGGCAACTAGCCACATTCTGTTGCAGGGAAAGCTGCAAATATTGTGCCCTCCCCCCTTCCCCCACCTAGTCCAGATGGAAGCTTGCTGCTTTTTTTTTTTTTTTGTACTGGGGGTTGAACCCAGAGGCACTTTACCACTGAGCCATATCCCCAGCCCTTTTAGGGCCTCACTGAGTTGCCAAGGCTAGCCTCAAATTTATAATCTTCCTGCTTCAGCCTCCGAAATCCCTGGGATTATAGGCATATGTCGCCATGCCTGGCAATGGTAGACTTCTTAAGAGCAGGCCAGCTGCATTGACTTGAATCTTATTTCTTTTTGTATCTCCAGCAGTTTCAGGCTCAGGGCTTCTGAGTGACATTGTTGAATTAGCATGTGTTGGTAATCTGTGGGCTGGTTTTGAACCTCTGTGGTTTATTTTCAGAATTTTTTTGCTTTGATATGTGCTTATGTTCCCAGCTACATGAGTTTACTTTTTGGAGTAAAGGTTTTTGTGCCTATAGATTGTGTAGTTTCATAAACCTCAGTCTACATTGAAGCCTGACTAACCACTTTCAGGAAGTTCAGACAGTTGCTTTTAGAAGTCATTCCTGTGGATGGGTGTTCCCCTCAACCCTTTCATTGGTCATGGCTATGGGACCTCCACATGTGACAGCAGATGGTCCTGGAGTTCCCAGGCTGTGTGTCTTGTAGGAGTTTGGGAAAATCAGTAAACAATCCTCCTTTGTGGTTCTCATCTCTCTGCAGTATTTGAGCTCCCAACAGGGAATCCTATAGCCAGCAGAGATATCTGACAGGAAAGAAAACCTACTCTTACCAAGGAAGGACCTGGGAGGGGCGGAAATGCCATGAACATATTTTAGTTGGATTATGTCATGTTATTGGGGACCATTAAGTAAATGGATGGTTCAATTTTTCTTTTTTAGACAACAGATAAGGCTTTTAAGCCTATTGGAAGGAAATTTGAAAAGGTTTCATGATAATATTATTTCATTAATACGGCCAACCTCCACAGATAGCTAGTTGTTTTCTCCTCCTGATCCTGGCTCTTGCTTTTTCACTGCGTGAATAACTTTCCCAAGGGTTTTGTTTAACAGCGTATTGAGAAGTTCCATGTTTGATCGTCCAAGATGTGCAGAAGTCAGAGAAAAAGCATTTACATTTACTTAATTAGAAAAATGAGCCACAGTCTAGGTGATACTAGAAATACCGAAGATGATGTGCCTGGCTGTTTCTTTGAAGATGGTTTATTTAGTTTCCTGATGAGTTTAAGAAACCAAGGCCACATTTTTATTTCTAGTGCTGGGATTACCCAGTCTAACAGTTTTGACTTTTGAATGTTTAGAGCAACAGAAGTTCTATGGGATGTTTAGAGCAACAGAAGTTCTATGGGATGAAGAGAAAATGAGGACTTTTCTTGTCCATTAAAAACTCAGACATGGACATGGCATGTCTTTGTCCTTTGTCCCACATTCAGAGAAGACAGTGACCCCTGCTGTTTGAGTTTGCATTATTTTAAAGAATGTGATCAGAATTGATCTGTTACATATTCCTCTTTTCTGTGATGGATCTCTTGCCACTTATTATGTCTGCCTTGAATATGAATTCATTGGGATGGGGTGATTAGATTGGCTTATAAGGCCAATTGAGAAAAAATTTGTGAACTGTTAGTACAAATCAGCATCATTAATATGGTCACTTTATTTTTAGGTGATTGGTGAAGACAATGTGGCAGTCCCCTCACACCTTTATAAGGTGATATTGGCTCGCAGAAGCCCAGAGTCTACTGAACCGCTGGCACTGGGGGCCTTTGTGGTGCCCAATGAAGCCATTGGTTTCCAACCCCAGTTAACTGAATTCCAAGTGAGCCTCCAGGACCTAGAGAAGTTGTCGGGACTGGTGTTTTTCCCTCGTTTGGATAGAAGCAGTGATATCAGGAATATCTGTTCTGTGGACACCTGTAAGCTTCTGGATTTCCAAGAGTTCACTCTGTACCTGAGCACAAGAAAGATTGAGGGAGCCCGTTCAGTACTCAGACTGGAAAAGGTCATGGAAAACTTGAAGAATGCAGGAATTGAACCAGATGATTACTTCATGAGTCGCTATGAGAAGAAGCTAAAAGAACTCAAAGCGAAGGAGCAGTCAGGAACCCAGACGGGAAAGCCAGCCTAGTTTTTAATCTCAGAAGACGTGCTAATCAGCTGAAATGAGGCAGGCATGCATTCTTCAGGCTGATGTATTTCGTGGCTTTGCTTTAAAGAAATGATGGAATCCTAAATTTACAACTTAAATTTCCTCTGAAGGATGAAAAATCTACAATTTTTTTTGTCATTGTCTTTTTGACTTGTGAACTAATTACTAAGAGCATTGTCATATCTCCAGATCAAGAACTGGTCTTGTGTCATGTTATTAGGACTGTGTCCACTAGTTAACGCTGCGTTCATGTCTCTCTGGAAGAACAGTGTGTGAAGGAAGGCATTGTTTATTTTTATGTATCCAAATCATACATTGTCTTTGATATATCTGCTTTGCTATCTTGGAACTCGGTATTGTATGTTGTCTTTCCCAAGGATCTGAGTTGGTCTTAAAGAAGGCTTTTAGAAACCCTCTATTATCCTGTCCAAATATATAATTTTATTCTTTTCTTATGCCCCATATTTCTCCACCTCTGTCTTCTTTGTGCTAAGCTCAGTGTTTTACTTATATTGTGACACAGTGATCCTCTGGGGTAAACCCCACTACCCTCATTTTATATCTGGGGAAATTGAGGCTTATAGAGCTTCATATCTTACCCTTGTTTTCACCTTTCCAGAGATATCACCACACAGAGCTAAGTGAAGACTGGTGGATTTAAGTCTTCCTAACATGAAGATTTTTTGACTAAAAAATGCATTGCCCACTCCCATGGATATTTGTCCTAAAGCCTGCTTGGTAAGAAGGGTCTAGTTTTCGTATGCTACATGAGCCAAAGGGACTTTAATGTCCTCTAATGTGAATAGTCCTTAGCTCTTTGGAACAGAAAAAGTAGGTATTTGAAAGCTCTTACTTGCTCCAGACATGCCATTCTTTTCTCCTAGTGCTCAGGTGGAGCTGGGTCCATGTGTTCCTTGCTTCCCAGGTGAGCTTTTGTTCTCAAGACTAAGGGACCTAACAAGAGTGTGTGCTGAGTCACCAGTGCAGGACTGGCTGCCTCTGCACCTGCTTGTCTAGACCTGAGCGGCACAGGGCAGGTGGAGCTTGGGGCCAAAGCTCCAAAGACAGTTACCCCTGGAGGGAAGGGTGGCTGTTACTCTGAGTCAGATCTCTAGATTTGGGTTTACCCAGCATCCTTTTATGGGCTATCGTAAGTTATAGACAGTAAAATATCTTGAGGGAACAAGAACTTATCTGTCATACTGCTGATGCCTTTCCAAGTAGTATTAGAACAATATTTTGGTGTTTTGTGTTTGTCTCTAATAGAAATGCCAAGGCTTTAAGATAAAGATAAGAAGATAATGAGTGGCCTTGTTCTGCTCCTTTATTTGAGTAAAAAGGAAAAGTTGGGGGGTAGAACACAGTAGCCTGATTGATTCCATTTTGTTTTATCACACTGTTCCCCATTAGCTTGTGCCAGTCCTTTTCTTAGGGATATATAGCCAAAATGTCACTGTGACCAAAAAATTCTGCTACTTTCTTTCCTCAGTGGAGAGGTGATGGTGGGGCCTGGATGTTTCTCCAGGAGCCCAAGGGGCAGTTCTGTGGGATAAGTCCTGGCTACCTGTTGTGATTCTTTGCAGTTGAGCCCGACTCCCTTCCCCCATCACTGTGCCTTGCTCTGTGCTGCCCTGACCTTCAGCAGCCTTGGAGTTACCTCCTGTGCTCCTCTTGGGATAGTGAACAGTGCTGATATTTTAGCTCAATAAACTAATGTCTTAGGTTTTTATTTCCTATGAAAAATGCTACTTGATCATTGTGAAAAAGGAAGCTAAGGTCTCTGCCTCCTGTCCCCTTTACCTTCAGAGACCCTGGTCAGAGGGGAAGGCTGCTGTGGAGGAACTGTGAGGCTGGGCAGGCCCTTCTGCAGGAAGTTCCCTCTGTGGGTGAGGGGATTCATTCCCTATCTTTCTCCATCGCCAGTGACACCTTCACACTCTTTGGTCTCTGGATGAATGCTGTTTGACCTAAGGTAGATCTTATACAACAAGCTGCAAAGGTTAGGAGAGCAGGTGTGTCTGCCTCTTGAATACCTGTTAACATTTCTGCACCTGCACCTTAAAACAACTGAAAACTTGTGTTCCTCCTTTAGGCCTTTGATTAGAGCCCAGCAGGAAAGACAGTCTGATCTGGAGGGAATGGCTTCCTGCAGAGCTGGGCTCAGCTTGCAGTCCTACACTTGGAATGATCCTGAGCATTGCCATGTGTGTCACCTGTGTCCCCTAGCTCTATCCTTGTGCGTATGTGTCACTGACATCAACTCCATGAAACAGACTTCCTGTTAGCGGCCCATCCATAAATCTCTCTGTGCCTGGAGCCTGCTGTTCTGTTCCCTGCTCACTCTTATACCTTCACAAGGTGTGCCCTTCCTACTCTGGGTCCTTCTGGTCCACCTCTACCTTTCTCCCTCATTCTGGTTCATTCTGGTGGAGCTGAGAGGGGCTGGCACATTGGGTGCTCCTGCCAGCCTTCATGCCCTGCCTCTCCATCTGGACTGCTTTTCTTGATGTCATCATTGGAGATTTGTCTACATCACCCCCATCTTCAGGAATCAACGCTTAGGTTATTAGAGAGGGTCAGTCAAGCAGAAGGAATTGCATTTTGAAGTGAACCCCCAGGTAGTTACAGGATGTAGGGTTGTGGTGGTGAATTGAGTTCTCTTGGGAAGTCCTGAACATAACACTGTGTCCTAGGGACTGGTTTGCCCCTTAGTGCTCAGAGTACCTCTAGGGGTCACTGTGGCCTTATGGCATACTGCAAGACAGATTTGGCTGTGCCCAGCTCCAATATAGAACCTGTAGCTCTACAAGCCCCAAAGTACATGGCCAGCTTCAGACGCCAACCTGTAGGCTCTCAGGCCAGATGGAAGACAGGGGTTATCTCCTCCAGTGACTTTTTGCTTGACTTACATCAGAATAGCTAGAAATAGTTTAGATTTCCCCAACTTTATTTTGAGAAATTTCAAGCATATAGAAAAATTGGAAGAAAAGTACAGCAATTGTTCCTTCCCCTAATATTTTGTTTCTTTTATTTCCTCTTTTTTCCTTGAACCATTTCAAAGTAATTTGTGGTTTTTTTTTTCTTTTTTTTTTTTATTTAGAGATAGGGTTTCACTGAGTTGCTTATTGCCTCACTTTTGCTGAGGCTGGCTTTGAACTCGCCATCCTCCTGTCTCAGCCTCCCAAGCCGCTGGGATTATAGGCATGCGCCACTTGCCTGGCTTAACACTTCACTTTTTAATACTTCACCTTGTATTAACCTAAGAACAAGGATATTCCCGTATTATCAAATCTAGAAAAATTACCAAGGATTCAATATCATCTAATAAATAGTTGCCATTAAAATTTGCTATTGTGCTCCAAAATATCTTTTAGATTCTTTAAAATGTAGGTTTTGATCAAAGTTTCTGTTGTCATGACTCATCTTTTAATCTAGAACCATCTACCTGGTTGGTGTCAATACAGATTGTCCAAGCATGCTTTTGAGATGTTGATTGATAAGATCTGATGTGAGGCTAGAATTTATTTTTTAAACAAGTGACACTGGTGATTCAGATGGTCACCTGGGGTTTGGAGTCAGCCTGTTCACTACTCTGCCCCCACCTGCATTCCCTACTAGGGGCCCTGTCAGACAAGTGGTCTTTGGGCTCCTGAATCTCTGAGGGAGAACTTTTTCATCCCTTTGGGCCCAAGCTGCCATGTTTTCTCTGTAGTAGAGCATAAAATTGAGCCAAAACTTAACTCCTGCTCATCAATGGCAGGCCTAAACTTCCTGACAGAGTCTGGCTGGCACCTGCCTTCACCTGATAGTTCTTTAGAGACAGGAAGCTCATGAAGCTGTCAGAGCATCTCTTCATGCTCAAGTGCTCATGGATTTTATGTCCCCTCATGATGCAGCCGTTGCATCTGGGCAAAACATTCAGGATGGGAGATAGCAATTGGGTCAGGATTGAGTTCTCTTCTTAGGGACACTCTGCTCTCCTCACTATACCATTGGTTTATGTGGATTCACTCCAGCTAACTGCTCAAGGTCGTTTTCACAGCACCTACTGTCAAATCAATTCCCCATTATGCACTTAAATAGTCGGTTTTGGAACCCAAATGTGGGATATTATGTATGCCCAACTGTTGAGATGTCCTCTTATTGCATTTTCTACCCATCTTCAAGTAAGTTCACATTCTTGATGATCCTGATTTGGCCATCTGACATATTAGCTGTGCCTCTCAGCTTTGAGATTGCAGATTATATAAACAGGCTTCCAGTGTGTTTGTTGAAAACACTGAACGAGACAGAACCCAAGAAGATTCCTTTGTAAAACATTCATCTTACATGGCAGCCCACATCCCACACCCAAGAAGCTTCATGTGATGATGTGCTCTGATCATTTCTGCCAAATTAATTTGTTTCTTTAAAAACACTATGTTGACTTGTTGAAAACACTGAACGAGACAGAACCAAAAAGATTCCTTTGTAAAACATTCATCTTACATGGCAGCCCACATCCCACACCCAAGAAGCTTCATGTGATGATGTGCTCTGATCATTTCTGCCAAATTAATTTGTTTCTTTAAAAACACTATGTTGACTACAGAGTATAGAAATGGGTCTTCATGACAATTTGCCCGTGAGTCACTCTAGGACAGAGAGAGTGCCTGCTATGTCTCTAGGTCCACATGGCATGACTGGGCCAATGCTTTAGACACATGCAGCAAGTAAGGAGGCACACTTGGATTGGGTGCCTGTCTCATCATCCTCTTCAGTGGGGCAGCCTTGAGCAGTGACTTCCTCCTACTCCATTAGGTTCCTCATCTAGGAACAGGTTTAGATGACCTGAAGGATCGGTTGGGGATTGAATAGATAACATATGTAGTTTATTGAGCTCTTAATAAGTGGTAGCCAGTTACTAAACATTCTTGAGGTTGATTATCAGGTGGTTGATGAAGGTTATGTTGTCCTTAGAGGCTGAAGGACAGGGCCTGACCTCAGTATGGTGTTAAGCTGTGGACCAGTTGGAAGCAGTTCTGTCTTTTCCCAAATCTGAAGACTTTGATATGCTGCTACCACCTCATTAACCATATCAGCCATTTATAGTTTGTAAAGCACTTTTCCAGTAACATTCCACCTCTTGGATAAGTGCTGCTCATTCTACTTCACAAGCGAAGAAATGAAAACTCAAGGAATTTATCAGGGTTTTCAGGCAAAAATCTTAATGTTTACCCTCTACCCCTGAAGGACACTCGTTATTTCAATTCACTTTATGATTCAGTCATTTATGCAGTTACTCAGTCCTGCAGTGTGCTTCTCGGGGGCCCCATAGGGTTCTGCAAATAGTAGGTGATCAAATGTCTTAGAGTTACCCAACAAGCAGAAAAGTGGAGTGTATCCTGTCCTAACTATTCATTTTCCCTATGGGGGGACCAGAGATGGTGAGGTCCAGGGCCTGGCTCTGTGGTTGAGGACAGATCTGTGAGTGCAGCAGAACAGCAGGTCTGTGTCTTGGATTGATAGCACCAGGTACTGAGCTTTGCTGACAGCATACCTGGGTTTCCAGGGGACTTTGCCCTGTGTCTCCCACATTAGCTCTGCTGTCTGTGCAGTCTAGTCTGGTCTGAGGCAGCCTACCCTATGGGAGGATGCGAGTGAGAAGGTGACAGTGTGCTGAGCAGGGGTTTCTGTATGCTTGAGTCTGGGGGAAGCAGAGCTAAAATTAGATCTTCCAACTGTGTGCAGGTGTGAAACCCCACCCTCTCACCCCCAGCCATGATTTCAGAATGTATGTCCTCTCTCTCTTCCGGCCCAAGTTACTCCACAGGCACAAGATGAAAGGTCTGTTTCTGGTAATGTCAGGGATCCCTTCTACCCAAATGTCCTCTAAGGCTATGGGGGTGGGAACAGTGGCAGGCAGTATCCTTGAGTTTGCTGAGCCTTGCCATACTTCTGAGGCCTAGGTTCAGCTGTCTTCTTGTTAGACCACCAGGAAGGCTAAGCAGTGCATTGCAGGGCTGAGCATATACACAAATGACCTAATTATAAAGTCAATTGAAATAACAGAACACCCTTCAGGGGTAGAGGGTAAACATTAGATTGGGCACTTGATGTCACCACCCATGAAAGGTTGCTGACTTCTGCTGGTCTCCCGATTGATGTGCTCTGTGCCCCCACTCACCTTACTTCAGAGAGAGCCTTGGATTCCTTTGCCGGCCATTGTGATTCAGACACAGGTGGAGAAGGCCTGGTCTGGAGCAGAGATGGAAGAGCCCTGGCCTGGGGTATCTTACTCAGGTGAGTGGAACCCAGGACAACATGACCT